AACTTAGGGAATTAAACAGCACATAAACTCACTGCTTCCAATTAGGCACAAATACGTCTGTCTTCCTCAACAATCATGTGACTTGTTCTGGACGTGGCTAAAATGACACATTTGGATAAACTTCTTGACAATCATTTTTGACAAGGTAACAAATTCATCTAGTTTCCGTCATGAGTTAACTCCAGTCACCATGTCCCAGAAAAAAAAAAAAAAAAAAAAAAAAATCTACAACACCCAAAAAATTTCTACAACAGATGCTTTTTCCATAACATGCCATACTCCTTTACAATGCCAACTTGTCCTGTGCTCCCTAGCACCTCCACAGCTTAGGTTAGTACCACAGTGAATGTATGACATGGAGGAGAATAAGTTCTAGAAAAAACAGAAAAGTAGAGCCCCCACAAACCCATTTACCTTGCAATGAAATTTCACAGAGTTTCTAAGATTTCCACAGCAGACAATCTCCAACTGACACACAAAGCATCACAAAATCTCCAGATAAAATCAGTACAGGATCTTCTTTCCCATACTCACCACATTTTCATGGCTCCTCTTACTGTATCCTAAGTGTTTAGAGTTTTTTTTTCCCCAGTGCAAAGGCATGAGGCTTATTAAAATACAGTCCAATTTCCTTTAGAGAACATCACCATATCTGAAAGGTAAAGTTCTTCAAGACTACTTAGCAACCTTCCTTAAAGAAACACTGTCTATTAAATCTTGCCCTGAAAAAACAAAAGTTCCCAAGAATTCCAATGGATATTCATTCAAGATTCCAGCAGAGTCAACAAGACTTCTGCACTATCCAGTTTTCATTTCTCTGCATACTGCAATTGCTTCCTTCCAGTACAATTTTCAAAATCTCTTTTCAAATAAAGAGTTTCAAGAGAAAATGTTAACGTTACTCTATTTTGAGTGAGACTGACTGGGAAGAAGTGGTGTACAATTTTGTTCCTGTTAATTTTGTTAACAATCTTGCCCTGAGCCTTGCCTGGATGTTTTGTGACTGGTACTGGTCTTTTTTCTCTTTCCTTTCTTTCTTTTCCCCACTGACATGCTCTTGCCAAGGATATCATTATGACATTCTGTAGTAACAGGCATTCTTCTGTTCAAATTTATATCAATTAGTTTGGGACAGTAATTCAATCGGACGGCCCACTGGATTTTGAAAGACTTGCAACCATGTCAAAGTGGCGACCTTTTTCCTCCGCTCTCAGCCAAAAGCCATTTTTTAACAAGGAGCTCTTGAAAAGAAATGCCGCTTTGATAATTAGTTATTGATCACGGACAATGCGGCGACGAATACCATCGGATTAGCCAGACGCCAGTGGGTCGCGACACGAGGGTTTCCTTATCGCAATAATCTATGAAAAGAAATATAGAATAAAGGTCATTAAGGCGCMTCTTTTGGGAGCAGAACTCAGATAATTTCATTTCCTTATTAAAAAATAAAAACACCAAAGCATCCTCAATACACTTAGTTTTTTAATGAACTTGTCAAAATATCTGCCAATCAAAAAAAATTTAGGAAGTTATACCCATAGACAACTATATTTAGAATCGATAAATCAACTCTGCTTTGGCCAGCAGTTTTACCTCACTGAAGCACTGTAAATTTCCTGCCCTAAAATTTCCATTAGAAATAATTTGGGATTTAAGCATAAAAACACCATAAAACAGATTTTWAAAAAATGAACTTTTTTTGGTCTGATTGCACTTCAACGCTTGTCTGAAATGGCTTCRGATAAGTTAATCAATGGGGAAAAACAGCAAAAAAACAGTTTTGTTGCACTTGAAAGTACAGGAAAGAGGAAGAAATCCATTAGCTTCTTTCTTGAATATTACTTRACCATATTAGAATTACTTAGCCATTGTTGGAATTTACAAGAATATAGAACTACCTACATGATAATTTTTGGCTGACTTGAGAGACTAGTAGATATATACTGAAGCAATAAAACTATTTTTGAAATGTGAGGGATAACATAGRAGTCCTATTGCAATTGAACTCTTATAACGCCATAAGTAATACCCATACACCATAAGTGATAGCCATATATGACAGGACTACCTGGAACATTCCACTAATAAATAGATTTATTAGAGATATTACTTCACATTCAGCACAGGGCCCTAATACTTTATAGGCTCACCTAGAACAGTTATCTAAGTTCAGTGTCACTGCGGGGCAGAGAAAAAATATTATGGTGAAAAAAGTTTTTTTATGCTAAAAGTCCAGCATGATGCATTTACATATCATGTAGGTTACCAGGAGTATGAAAGTCTAAAAATTAAATCCAAATTACCATTTTTCTCACCAGAGTGTCGACAGAGCAGTTTGCTTATCAATTGATGGCTAAAGGCACTGTAAGTAGTCAACATCCACCAATTTAAATTAATAATATAGCCACTTATCAAATCATTTCTGTTTACTTCAGCACGGAAAAAAATGATACAGAAGACAAACAGATAAGATTAACCTCCCAAATCTCTAAGTTTTTTCACATCGGTTTGGACTGATGGGGAAAGTGTGAAGTCTCTATTTCATTAATAATAAGCATCTATTCGTTCCAGGGAAAAAGAACCTTAAATTATTAGACTAATGAAGCTGTCATGAGCACAATATTAATTTCTCTTTGTATTCATTATTATTTTGTAAAGTTCATTATTAATTCAGTGTCATTTTATCGTTATCATTAAATTATTGAATTACTATTATTCTAATCTATGACAAATTACCTGTTTGAAGTTTCCAGAGCTGCATTTTAATATTGTAACGTGTATGAAAACATTCTAAAAATGTATTTAAGTAACATTTAAGTAACAGTTACTCATTAGCTTCATAAAGGTAATCCATTCTAACTTCCGTGAGCTGAAGGTTACTTCATTTTATTGCTATGACTGCACGAAGCACAGTCTTCAGGAAGAAACTAAGATTTCATTCAAGTTGAGGGGACTTTCTGCCACAATGAAGGTCTCGAGACATGAAGGTTTTGCAGTGGGTGAATGAGGATTATTTTGCAAAGTGGATGTTTCTTAACCCTTTCCAGGCATTATTTTGTCAGGTAYCCTGTGACAACATACTTGACTTCTAGGTGTTTTGGTTTTTTTCTGCCTGTTCATTCTGAGAACAATTATTTCATGGTTTTAATTAAAGCATTAAAAGAGCAGTTGCAGTCCTGTGCTGGGCTACTAAGAGGGGAATCTGAAGCACTGCAGTTGATAGCATGCAGACRGCTTCTGGACTTCCCACTTTTGGAGTTGGAATAACTTCCTATCACCTCCTTAGCTGGCTAATAGCACCCTTGTTCTGGCTATACAGATGGACACCTCAGTACCTCCTATTTAACAATTTTTGTCTTGCACTTACGCTCTGTACTATACAGAAGCCACGRAGTACAGATTCAGAGGTCGGATCTCTTCTTGCTAGCACAGGCTGATGAGGACAAACTRTTATAGCAGAGCATAGCGTACCCGTCCAGAACATAATTCAATTTATCTAATCCTCTCTGCTTTTCAAATAGCTGCACTCAGAATATGCCAGAAAATCTCTCCTTCCTGCCATACACCCACAGTCTATAGGGACATCCTTTGGAGAAGGATCACAAATGCCGGGGAATTTCAATCTTTCCCGACTGCCTGCCACAATCGCTGAAAATCTTCTGAATGGAGCATTAGTATTAATATAGATATTGAAATAAAGTATGAGATACATCTCTTTAGTTGAGTGTACACCACGTAATCTTGCCTCAGTGCATTACGAAGCAATGGCAAGAATACTGTCCTTTAGACCAGCTGTTTGTGTAGATACCATGGTGATGGGTGTGTGATAAGATACGGCTTATTTTTTACAACAGGGCAATAATTCTTACTTACTTATTTCCCCCAGGGTGTTCTGAGGACTAACAGTTAGTGTTTGCTCAACTTTGTAAAAGGCCATATAAGTGCTAAGTATTATTATTATTGCCCTATTATGATATTGACTTTACCACACCGAGCTGTAGTACTTTCCTCTACTTAGGTGTAATGTCACCATGAAGTGTTTATATTCCCGTAATGTAAATGTTTCCTTTTGAAGGCGAATTGAATAGCTTATTGTTACATGTGACCCACAGTATAATTTATTTCACAATATAATTTATTTATAGGGGCCAGGAGACTCTCAAAAATAGATTCTAGGGACCTTTCCAGCTCGGCTTACTCAAGCTTTATACTCTCTGTTTGTCTTCAGCAGTGCTTGTTGACGTGTGTTTCCGAAATCCTGTTTGTCCCCATCCGTCCAGCCCTCAAGGGGCTTGTTGCACTGCTAGACGTGCTGTCATTACCTTGGCACTGAAGCAGGGCTGACTGGAAAGGCCGGGCTGCCAGTTTGTAGCTGAATCCACCCGATTCCAGAGCGTCTCGCCTTGGCCAGAGAGCAAAGAATTAACAACTGCACGGAACAAACCTGCAGTCCTTTGCACTGATTAGCACTTAAAACAAGTGCCAACCCACGCCCACAACAAAAAACAAAAACAAACCCCACAAAGCCACCTGAYCTGTCAAGTTTGTTCTTAGTTTCCCCATTCCGAGCTGACAGATATTTACTGTCCTCCCCCCCAGCCCTTACATSTGGATGGATGGGGACAGGCTTCCCACCCCTCGGAAGATCCACGTTGGTTCGGTGGCGAGGTGGAAGCAGGGAATGAACAATAGACGGCTGTCAGCCTCGACAGCAGGGCATGGATGTATGAGCGCGGAGCTGACAGCGAGGGCCTCAGAGGGTAAACTGCTTTGCTGGAACTAATTAAACAGATGAAATTATTACATGAATATGCAGATGTTGTTTACATTTTACCATATGGTATTATTTCAGGTAATAACTCGCAGGAGGATCCCTTCCTCTCATCAAGAGGAAATGAGTTGAAAAGGAGGCTCCGCGTGTCACCTTTCAGTTGCCAGGCAGACATTGATATGGCAGCTCCGCGCCGCGGCCCGGCGAAGCTCCTCTCCTCCGAGCCGGGCTGCACCGCCGAGGATTTGCATCCTTCCCACTGCGGAGGGATGCAATTATTTTTTATTAAGATTAAACGTTAGGGTTGCCTTTCCCCCCCCCCCCCCCCATTAGACATGCACTTTTCCAAGTGCTGGTTTCCAATGTGTGCCTTTTGAGATGCTGCCAATCCATGGTCATAGGTAAGAACTGACAGTTGTGTCCAAATATACAGAGACTGGATGCCTGGCATTTCTGGGAAGTGTGACATGCAGCTGTGTTGGTTCGCATTTAGTGCTTTGCTAACCTGAAACGTTGATAACAGAGGCATTCYCTCTCAATAAGCTTCCATTCATCATACTCAAGATGTTGCTCACTAGAATAATACGAGCACAGGATTACCATATCCAACAGTGTAAAAAATTATTGATAATATGCATTTAGGGAAGGTAGTCAGCTAGAATCTGACACTGCAAAATTACTGTACAACCCAGGCAAAGACACATACTGAGAACAAACAACACTGCAAACATATCTAAAAAGTGTTATCTACAAAAGCGCAATAGGGACGGATCACAGCCAATATAGTGCCAGTACAACCTGTTATGGGAGCTACTTATTACCGGATAAATCCAATAAGGATGAAAGCAGAAGGAGCCACACTTACGTTGTATGTATCCTGTCTCTGATGAAGAACCGTCACAAATCTYGAATACAGATGCAACTGCCGAACAAGAGCAACATCCCCACTGATGTACAAAGAATATTGCAGCAATGTCTACTTCTTAAAGATGAACGTGCAACTGTCTTGTCATTTTGCTTTATTCAAAACTCCCATTTAAACAATGCAATACTAACGCAACTGATATCTCTTACAGGCTAATTTAGCATCTAATTTCTACAATAACCATTTTCATATTCTCTCAGGAATCAATGCCATCACCTTGTTGATTAGATGCACAAAATATATTTTTATTACTCTATTGCTTCTTCTAAAAGTTCCAAGTTGATATGTGGACTGACCATATTGATCTTTCCCCTAGAGACACGAGCACCAGATACATTTCTATAGACTCACTCATAGGGGATAATGCAAAGTTACATCACTACTGCACTGACAGATTGGTTGCACATTGCCACTGATACGTTCAGCTTCCAAATATCTTTCCTAGGTACATCATTTTAATAGATCATTGGGGTCATYGGTGACCTATATCATTTAAGATGCAAAGACATGATGTCAGTGGTGCAAAATGTGGTCTTGATTCAAGCCATCATATTGTATTTTTGAAATAAGACTAATGTTTTCTCTTTACCCCTGTAATAGTCCACCAGAAGAGCCAGTATAACTGCCTCCAGCCTTTCTGAATATATCAACAAAATAACTGGTTCTCCTTGACTTAGAGACAGCTAGCTTTATACAGAGTCAGTGCTTTGTACAGAGCCAGTGCTCTAAGTTCAGAAAGGATTTCTTTTGACTTTGCCTTCTGACATAAACATTTAGCAGTATAACATATATATCAAAACAAACCAGAGCAGTTCACTTTATATACGTTCCCTTTGGAGAGGAGGTGAGAAAACAAACACAGAACAGATGTTAGTCATGCTTAATGTACTACTGGAGGGTACACCGATACTGAGGTGATGAATATGGTAAAAGCAATGAAGAGAGTACTCTCTTCTGCAACTGCTGTTCTTAACTGACACAAATAGCAATGAGAAGTGCATCATTCCTCTGCTCATCAGTGCATCAACAACCAAACACTGAACACTTTGGATTTTCCTCGGGAAACTAGCACCCAGAAATGTTACCACCAATTACTGACTTATTTCCACCTTTCCCTCCTCGTATTGCTGAAAGGCGGCTTTGATTACTAAAAGAACACATTCCTTTATGATAAATTAAATTACTGCTGCAGTTAGAAAGAGTTTCTACAAATTCTTACAGATTAGCTTGTCAAAGACCTTGCTTTACCTGCTTCATTCATAACATTATGTTTTATATTACATAAAGAAATCTTGTCTTAGAAAACTTAATTCTGCACTAGAAAATACTCATCCAAATTGCACGGAAAGACATGGGTTTTGTTGGGCACACAGCGGGTCCATTTATCTCTTCCCTCCTTGAAACCTGCCGCTGTACAATCTCTCATAACCCCAGCTACCTCCTTCCTGCTAACGATCACACCAGGTTGTGGAGCTGCTCTGATCTCTGCTTATGAAGATTGTTGTCTGCCCTCAATGTATATTGTGTTTCCTGGTCCCAGTAGAAAGATCCTGGGGGGAAGACGACAAAAAACACTGAAATAAATTCTTGAACTAGAAATGAAATTTGAACTAGCATCAGGATCAGAGAAGAACTTGCTGTGAGTGATCAGAGGTTTGGAAGAGAGAACAAATGAATCAAGAAGTRCTGCAAGAGGAGCTGAGGACATCTTATTGCTGGCACGATAGCAGGCAGAGAGCATCTGTACACAGATCACTGAGCAGGCACTGCCTAAGGCTGTAACTGCTGAGCAGAAATCGTGATACAGCTGTTATTAATAAGAGTATAATGGTGTGCAGAGGTTTCTCAATGGTGTTAGAAGCAGCAAATGAGACTCCAAATGCGTCCTAGAGAACAGAGTCCTGCTCTATGCCTTACTATCATTTCTCATTTACTTCCTTCAGACAGGCTTTCTATTACTTCATGGCCATATATAAGTAATGTATAAATGCACATAAACATGTATACATATTCACCTCAGTAATATCAYTAAAATTCACCTTTTCCATTTTTCTGTTTAATCTATTTATTTTTCTATCTACAACACTGAGCCATGACCAGTCATTCACTAGGGCTCTTTCCCCTAACTCAGTAATGTATCTAAAATTCCCAGGTCTTCTGCCCATCAAGCAACTCCTTGGTATTACACACATACACACTGTGCTGCACTCCACAGTTCACCATCTGAGTACTGTGAATTCCTGTGGACAGGACTATGCCTTCTTTGCATTTGGAAAATAGCCATCACATCGCAGTGTTAATGAAAAAAACACAGAGAAGGTAAACTTTCTTTTCATCTGTTCTTATTTTCAACTGTTGTTCATCGTGAAATAAACTGTGGCAGGCACTAATTGTGTAATGTAACTTACTAACACTGCAAGGCAGACAATTAAGAGTAGCCTGTTAATTAAGCATATATATGAACTCTCATGCAGTGTTGAACTGAACTGTGACTTGTTACCTTTACTAGAAAGTCCCAGTGAGCAAAGAGAAGCAGAATGTCCATTAATTTTCTTCAGAATGGGATTCTGTTTCAGGGTTTAATACGTCAGCATTTTGTCACCTGAGATTTAAACTTTCCCCAGTGCATGGAAAATGATGTAAATCAACTTATAGCAAAGACGGATTTGGCTTAATGTTTCTTGGATGATTGCCCAATCTACGAGGAGAAAACATTTAGAAAACTTTGCATTCAAAATAAAGAGATATAAAGGAGCTGATATGCATTCCTGACATGGAAAGAAAACTAAGACTCTGTAATGTTTCACTTACCCAAATTTCATGATGATCCATGTTAAGAAGAGAAACAAACAGTGGACCTACAGTAATGTGCACATGAATTTCCAGTGCCCTGTTTCACTTTAGTTCACAAGACATATCAACTAGTTTTTTTTTTTTCTCCCCCCCAAATATTACTGTATTGATACCTAAGGAGGAAAAACAGCTACCATAAWTTTTATGTATTATGCAGAATTATTTTCAGATTGTGCTAAATTTACAAAACCAAAATCTGCAAAAACCTGCTCTGTACTCACCACAGCGGAGCTGCTTGGATTGCTATTGCTCTGTTTTCTTTAGGTGGACAACTACATCTCATCTCCTTTGGACCCAAAACTTTGACAGACACACAGGTCTTTGGCTATCCTGTAAAACTACTTCCATCTCTAAACCGTGAAGAAAAATCTTTGTGCTACTGAAACACAGATATTCAGAGAAAAAACTCTCTGCATAAAGAACTTGAGGCATAAAATTCTTCAAGCTTAAGCTTCAACACATAAGCAATCCAATTTCACTGAAAATAATTACTTTTTTTTTTTTAGCTAGGTACCACTCTCAAGCTGGATATGTCTTTGAAGCTGACTGTTAATTGCATGTACATACCAGGAACTTTGCGATCATTGCATTAGGTCCTTAGTCACTTCTACTAAAATCATCGCCATTGCACTGTTGTTCATATAAACTTATAAAAGAAAAAATATTTTTAAATGAGATGAAAGAAATGGTGGAGAGATCATTATCACTGTTAAATTTCTGTTAGAGAATAGTCACAAATACCAAAACAGTACCACTGGAAGCTTTTTACATGATGATTAATGCCAAGTGTTTCAATTGTGTCAGCATCCATCCAATTCTAGATTACGTTTTGGCATTTCACACAAAAGACAACCTGGCAAAAATTAAACTAAAGAACGAGTAATACARCTATGACAATTTATATTTGTAACAGTTGTGAATGGTAGCATCAGTGCTTGCTAATCCTTTGATAAATTCTTATTACCTTTCAGTTCCCAAACGTATATAAGCAAGTATAAAGTATATTGGAGGCAGATGCTGCAGCAGATGAATGTGCTTGCCAAATGGTGTTTTATTTTGTTTTGTTTTTTACTCTAGGCACTCTTAATCTCTACTGTTACACACTCCAAATAGTTCTTACTTCTGGGACACTTCATGCCACACTCAGGGACACTGATATATGCACCTTCCTCYTCTGTCTTCACTTCTCCATATTTCATTTTTCCTCTTCACGTTAGACCTCTTCTCACAGCCTTTATTTACTCAGATAAGTATCTCATTTACTCCTGCTGCGCTACTTACATTGAGTAAACAAAATATCAGTAAACTTCAATGAACTGCAGAGTAATACTATATTTGAGTCTCTTAAAACTTTGTTTTTTTCCTATTTTAATCTTCAAGATCATGGTAGAAAATAACAAAGTAGATAAAAAAACTGATTTCAGGACAATCACATTTAAAATTGAGTATCTTTCTCAATAAATAGCATTAATATGTTAAAAACAAAAAAACYTATCTTTGTTACCTGAGTGTGGAGAAACCTTAAAATATCAGTAATGTTCCACATTTCTGTATGATTTACACAGTGTCTCATCATTTAAAAGGCAGAACATTTTTACCTTAAATCAGTAAGAGGCTTCTTTGGTGCTTTTGGTCAGCTCTGGTACTCACCTGTTTCACTCCTTAAATACCTGTGGGATGGAATTGGTAGTTTAAGCTCCATAATTCATTAAGATTTCATTTGATTGTTATTGTCTTTTGAAATTAAAGAGGAGTTGGCTGGCTGCATAGCAAATGTAGACAGAAGAGAGAATCAACCTCGTGAGCTGCGGGGTAGAAAATTCTGACTCGTGAAAGCTATAACTGCACTTATTTGTGCACACACGTATGGTATCTTTGCATGAGAATGCATGTATGCAAACAGTATTGTCATCTAAAATGTCTGGGAAGGTTTGGGAGCTCCCAGGCAGTATCCTTCTCCTCTAAACTGTTTTATTGCTGGCATTCCCTCCCTCTTGGGCATGCATTCAGCTGAGACTAGGCCAAATTGGCAGTCACTCTCCAAGTGCTTGGCAGGCCCGTGATCCCTGGGAGTTTTCAGCTGACATCTTTCTCTCCACCAGTCTAGGCAAGGGTCAGTGGGAGACCTG